GCTACCACATGGGTGAGCCTTGAAACAATTATCTGAAGTAAAAATTAGCCAGACATAGAACAAATCAATATGGCTCTACTAATACAAGGACAGAGGGTAGCTGAGAAGTTTCTAGGAGCTGAGGAGGAAAGAACACTGCTCAATGGACACAGAGTTTGTGTTTGGATTGATGAATTGTTTTGAAAATAGACAGTGGTGGGCTGGAGAGATGGCTCAGCAGTTGAGAGCACTGACTGCTCTTCCAGAGGACCCAGGTTCAAATCCCAGCACCCACATGACAGCTCACAACTGTCTGTAACTCCAGTTTCAGGGGATCTGACACCCTCACACAGACATACAAGCAGGCAAAACACCAACGTACATAAAATAAAAACAAATAATTAAAAAAATATATAGGCAGTGGCAAAGGTTGTAAGACACTATGAATGTAATTGATGCTACTTCACTGTACAGTTAAAAGGGGATAAGGTGGGGCAGTGGTGGCACTTGCCCTTAATCTTAGCACTCAGGAGGCAGAGCCAAGCAGATCTCTGTGAGTTCGAGGCCAGCCTGGGCTATAGAGTGAGTTCCAGGAAAGGCTCCAAAGCTACACAGAGAAACCCTGTCTCGAAAAACAAAAATAAATAGGTAGATAGATAGATAGATAGATAGATAGATAGATAGATAGATAGATAGATAAGGATAAAATTCCTTTGTTTTGTTATATGTATTTTAAAGATTTATTTTTTGTGTATGAGTGTTTTACCTGCAATGTAAGGGTACCATGTACACACAGTGCCCATGTGGCCAGAAGAGGGCATCAGACCCCCTGGAACTGGAGTTCCTGGTGTTTGTGAACCACCTTGTGGGTTCTGGGAACCAAAGCCAGGTGAGGCACCTCTCCAGGCCTCTGCACTGGAATTCTTGGCTCTCAGCCAGTGAGAGACTTCAACCAGAGTGCAGGTGAGGGCTCCGTTCTCTTCCAGTGTCCACTTATGTCCTCTTACTTTTTCCTGTCTTCCTGTATTGCTTGAAGGAAGGACGGGAGGTAGAGCACTGGAAAGTCTGTGGTCTTCATAAGAAGTGTGCACATCTCTATCACTCTGGTTTTTTCTTTTATCATTTTTACAAAGAAGGACCCAGGTTGGACCCAGGGCCTTGGCATTCTGGCAAGTATGTGTTCTATGCTGAGCTACATTCTCAGCCTTAAGAAGTTTGTTTTTATTGGTGGGGAGGGGTGTCTGTTTGTTTAAGATTTATTTATTTTATGTATATAAGTGATCTATCTGCATGTATGCCAGAAGAGGGCATCAGATCCCACTATAGCTGGTTGTGAGCTGCCGTGTGGTTGCTGGGAATTGAACTCAGGTCCTCTGGAAGAGCAGCTGGTGCTCATAACCACCGAGCCATCTCTCCAGCCCCGGTAATTATAGTCCTGATTGTATCTCTTAGGATGCTCATTCTTTATTTTCTTTCATTCTTTTGTATGTTTGCGTGTGTGTGTGTGTGTGTGTGTGTGTGTGTGTGTGTGTGTAACTCTCTCAAGTTGTCCCTTTGACCTCCACATGTTCATAATGGCATGCAGGCACACATATGGGGGGAGGGATACATAAATAAATGATTCAAAAAAAAACCGAAGGCCCAGAAAACAATGCAGTTTGCTCAAATTCACACAGACCATTAGTGGAAGAGTTTGGATTTGAACCTGGGTAGCCTAGCTCTAGAGTTCTTGCCTAGAAGGGCACACTGATCTCAGACTATCCACTTCTTGCTATAGTTCACCCCAATACTGTCAAAATCTCAACAGACACCCCCATACACACACACACACACACACACACACACGCACACACGCACGCCCATGCACATAGCCTTACTTACTCAGAGTGAATCACCACCCCAGTGGGTCCCAGAGGCTCAGTGACTCTCAGACCTGCTTCATCAGAAGAGGAAAGACTGGCCCTTCTGTCAGAGGCCATCTTGTTGGTCAAGGAACTCTTGGATTCTAGAACATCACCGTGCTTGGCATCTGTAACACAGGGTCTCCATTTAAGTATATTGATGAAATACCTGACAGTCTGTTTTATTTCCTAAATTATATTTGAAAAATGGGGGAGGGGTATCTGGTGAGGTGGCTCAGTGGGTAAAGGGGCTTGCGGCCAGGCCTGACAACCTGAGTTCAATCCCCAGATCTCACCAGTGGCAAGAAAGAACTGACTCCTGAGGGCTGTCCTCTAACCTCCACATGGGCACCAGGCAGAAGCACACCTGTACTCACACATACGCTAAGTACAATTTTAAAGCAGCTAGTATTTAGTATTTATTGTGTCCTGGGGTCGTGTTAACACATTATCACATCTAGCTCTCATAAGCGCTCATATTCACACACACACACACACACACACACACACACACACACACACACACACTGAGGAGGAAACAGGTTCAAAAGATTATGCACATGCCTACATTCAGGGAAAAACTAATCTAGACCCAAGGTTGACAACAATACTGTGGTGCCAGAGTCTGAAATCCAGGGCACTAATCCAGACCGCTTGTGCCTCCACACAGCTCACCTGCTCTAAACTGAGTGGAGGAGAACTCTGAAGCAGCTGGGTTTCGCTGTTCACTGTGTGGACACCTTGGCACGTTCTCCAGAAGTTGGCTCATGACCTGAAGAAGTGCCTTCCGAAACTTCCACAAGTCACCTCCCATTATTAACCACTCACTCACAAACGTAACTTTGTGTCCGTCCACCACCACCACCACCACCACCACCCCGTGGCATCTAGAATAGAGCCTGGCAAAGGTGACTCAGATCTCAAGCAGCATCTGAGTGAATAAATGTAAAGAATTACATGGGCTGGGACTGAAGGTCAGTTGCTTGGTGTGCAGGAAGCCCTGGGTTCCTTCCCCAGCACTGAAGAAAGCAGGCATGGTGCTCCATGCCTGTGATCCCAGCACTTGGGAGGTAGGGACATGAAAATCAAAAGGTCAAGGTTGCCCTCAGCTACATAAAGAGTTCAAGGAGGAGGGAGAAGAAAAAGAAAGGAAATAATTCTAACCCTCCCAGCCACCCATAATGACAAAAGAGTCCTTTAAGTCTGTGGCTGTCATATGGAAAGATGAACCATTCTTTTTATTTTGCTGTATGATTTATACTTTATAAAAGTCAATCTGTTCTTTACCATTTTACATCAGCATGTGCCCTGTTTAATTA